GGTTTACTTGATGGTGGGTGATATACCCCAGGCTATAGTATTTTAACAATGCGCTGTCTACCTATTTGGCTTTAGACTGAAACCGAAACGCGACTTAGCTTGGACGGAATTTCTATGCTACTCATTTAATATCCAGATTTTCAGACGAAGTCTACCATGTTTTCCATGACTTCACGACTCTTTGATAGCCATATCATTGCTACCGTTAGCCTATATTTTTTTCAACTAACACATAATACATGGTCACCCTAAAGAACAGACACATTTACGAGAACATAGTGCAGTTCGTAGCGGATTGGGACCGAGACATGTCTGTAGAAACATAAAACTCATAGTTTGAACTTGTTTCCGAATGGCAATTTTACATCCGCTATGCAAATATATTAATTGTTTCATTTTAACTACGGCCTACTGCTTTGCAGCAGACGTGGTATCTTCGTGGCCGCGGATGGTTTCTGCTTAACTAATATATATCGCGTTTTAAACCGTTAAAGTTATTTATTTAAATATACAAATGTTATAAAGCTGAAAAGTTTGTTTGTTTGAATGCGCTAATTTCAGAAACTACTGGCTCGAATTGAAGACCAATATTAAATATCAAGGAAGGCTATAAAACATCAGGCTTCGACCAATAAATAGGCTAGGAGGTTGTTAGCAAAAATAAATTATATTACGATGTCCAAAATAACAATTCCATGCGGACAAAGTCGCGGGCACAGGTAGAGTCATAATATAATGAAGATCTAAAATTATTCCGAATCGTTTGTTTATTAAAACATTCCTTCTCGTTACGAGCGTTATTAATAAGTTTATTGAGTGGCTAACCGTGTTAACTGCTAGGCTATTAAAAATGTCTGCTGTTTACTGTTTTTAGCAAGAAGCTTCCTACATACATTAGTACTATGTGGATATAATTGCAATCTGTATCAAGGTATAAGAACTAACATCACTCAAAATAAGAAACTATTATAATATAATAACATTAACGTAAGAAAGCATATAAAAATATAATTTTATATTTTAACAATAAACTGAGAATAACAATTGTTTAAAAATAGATGAGGACAGATAAACGTGGTTTATTGGGGATAGGAGGTACAATACACGAGCTATATAACACTAGCTGGTGCCCGCGATGTTGCCCAAAATTAGTCTTGGTTTTTGCGGGTTTGTTTTTTTTTTTTTTTTTTTCCCAAAAAAAAAAAAAAAAAAAAACCCCTTTTTTTAAAAAAAAAAAAAAACAAAAAACACCCGGGGAAAGGTGAAAAAAAAAAAAAAAACCCCCTCCTTTTTTTTTCTTTTTGGTGTTTTTCCCAAATTAGGATTAGGTATTACGTAGTATCGCGCATTTAAACTAAATGATGCGTCGCCCCCCCGCCAATTTCCCCTCAAAACTTTTCCCCCCCCCCCCCCCCAAACCAACCCCCCCCCCCAAACACCCCCCCCCCCCCCCCCCCAACAAAAAAACCCCCCCCCCCCCCCCCCCCCCAAAACATTTTACCCTCCCTCTTCCCCCCCCCCCGAGCACCCCCCACAAAAAAAAAATTTTAACCCCCTTAAAATAATTTTTTTTTTTTGGCCGGGTCCCTTCCAAAAAAGCCCGCCCCGGGGGGGGGCGGAAAAAAAAAAAAAAACAACCACAAAAAAAAAAAAAAATTTTAATCCCTTTCATTTCAAAAAAGGTTTTTTCTTTGCAAATATTTTAATTTTTTTTTTTTTTTTTTTTTTTTTTTTTAAAAAAAAACAATTAAAAATTAAAATTTAAAAAAAAAAAAAAAATTTTATTATAAACAAGAAAGAGGGGGGGTGTTTTTTGGAATATTTTATTAAAAATTAAAAATTTTTATTAAATAATAATTTTTTTTTTGGGGGAAAAAAAATAAAGGGGGGGTTTTTTTGATTTTTTTAAAATTTTTTTCTATCATATCATACATTACATAATTATGTGTAAGTAAAGTTTATGGCAGTGCACGCCAAAATAGCTCCCTCTTTCAAACAAGACCAACCAAGGACCAACCAAACCAAACCAAACCAAACCATTATTGGCGCAAGACCAAGACCAAGATGGCTAAGTCTCGTCTTGTTCTGCGTTCAACACTACCCATTTTACACTTACTATATCGCGCATTTAAACTAAATATGTCTATCATATCATACATTACATAATTATGTGTAACGAACGTTTATGGCAGTGCACGCCAAAATAGCTCAAGAAAGGTAGGTTGTTTCCTAGTTACTTGACACTTAATGTCGTATTTTGGAAAACTCACACAATATCTCTATAAATTGTAGCCTATGTGTTATTCTGATGTATAAGCTATATTATTGAAAAGTTTAATTGAAATCCATTCAGTAGTTTTTGCGTGAAAGAGTAACAAACATCCATCCACACATACAAACTTTCACGTTTATAATATTAGTAGGATCTAACCAAGATGCGATGTTGACCTATTTGGGCTTTGGATACACGGTTTCATAATTTTGACCTAACAATATTGTACTGGAATTATTAAACTTAATCTATTAACAAATAATTATGGAAAATAAACTATTCGTTTTTATTTTACGTGAGTAGTACACATTTTTAATAAAACACCGTAACGGTTAATATTAGTAGTGAAATCCCTTTTCCCCCCGTGGGGCATGGGGCGAACACATTTCTGTGTCCGTTTCACTGATCGATTTAATTTACAGGCAAGTAGTTGATTAGACTTCTGTGCCCTGCCCGACCGAAACAACCTATTGTTTCCCCGGTATTCGAACCCAGGACCTCTCACGTTTTACTCACTGCTAAGCAACACGTTTAACCATTTAGCCACAGAGGCGGTCATATGAAAATTTTCAAATAAGTTTAACTAATATATATCGCGTTTTAAACCGTTAAAGTGTTTTATTTAAACTATTTATTTATTGCTTAACGTCATCCGTATATGTAACCGCATGCAAAGCTTAATTAATGCGGCTTTTAATGGTTTAATTAAATAATTATAAAAATAGCTTAACGATGAAATAATATTGCGTACGAGCCACCTTCCGTTGACCACCGGCGTATAATTATTCGTTCATTACATTTTAATTACCACCCAGCGACTTTACTTGTCGGGCGTGTGTTTTAAGCGTGGATTTTTTCCTAAGCACTAGAATTGAAATTACACGAAAACACACTTAATTACTGCTGCCATGTAGTTATTATGGAATATTTGCGCTACGATGTAACATAAAACGTATTCTTTGAAACGTACTTTGAGTAGTGTTTCTGTGTTTTTGTATGTCTGTTTCTCTTAACGAACGAATCTTTGGAACTACTTGGTTCACATTGAAAAAATATTTTGTCTTGGTTAGAGCATTTATCGAGGAAGGCTATAGGCTATAAAACATCCCGTTGTGTAGGAACAGCGGGAAATGTGGAAAAAACGGGGAAAAAATTGTATATACTTTAGTGAGTTTCCCATGTGTTCGCTGCGAAATCGGATCAATATACCTAAGATATATATTTAAATATAAGAATGATTCCTTTTTGTAAGATCTAAAAAAATGCAAGAACGACAAACGCGACGTCGTGGGTAACAGTTTAAATTTATACAGGTGAAGAGGAGTTTTAGTTAAATCAAATTTGTATGAAAATTTTTTTTTTTTTACATGTTATTGAAGGCACTATATAATTTAAAAATCGAAAATAAATTGAACAAATTCTCGACTCGGGCAGGACTTGAACCGGTATCGTCAGCCTTCCGTGCTGTTGCTCTACCAATTGAGCTACCCCATCGTCGAATTTTTTTAACTTATTGATACATGCACCTATCGCGCAATGTAATTTCAACCTTAACACTTGCGTATTAAGGTTCCAAAATAATTATTCTACGCGGACGGAGTCGTTGGCAGAGCTATATAGAGAGCATATGACAATGGACGAAGACGCCCAAACTATCCATCAACATTGCACTCTCATTAAAGCTTCAAATAAGCTTAATAAGCTGCTGAACTGAAAATCAAATTAGCCTCGATTCCCAGCTATTTCTGGTTGTCACTCCAAATCGATGTCATGATGAGCGGCAATCAATATGCAGTCAGCTGACGTCTAATTAGTAATTACTGAGAGCTTCCAATAGATGGCGCTCTGTCAAAGAGACAAATTATGGTTCTCGGATGCTTGTAATTGCTTGAAAAGTGTTTAAACTTTATCAGGAGAAACCAGTCTCTAAATAGTCAATAATGGACGATAATGGCTAACAAAGCTAAAAGAAGATTAAGTTTTGTAATAGAAATACCGATGCAACATTTGAGATATAGAAGTATCGTTACTTTATAATATCTGAGAAATATTAAATCTTATACTAAAAAAAACGATAAAAACGTTTGAAATTAGTAAAATTACTTTTACGTTATGTTATCTAACTTGTGCATGTTGTTTGATGCAATAGTTAAAATTAATTAGAAATACAAAAGCCAAAATAGGACGACAGCACATCTTGTTAAGACGTTATATGGTTAAGCTATTTCACTCACTATCAAACCACCAAGTGGATTCCATGCTTCTCATGTCTGTCTCATGTCTGTCCTCCTCAAAAATCAAAGCGAATAAAGTAAATATAATGTCACTATTTCAATTTACTTTTTTCTAAGTAGAGGATTAATTAATTGTATTTTCTACAAATCGATTTCTTTGATTTGTTACGTTATTTTATAGAGGCTTAATGACTAATCAATATGACACCGGAAGTATTAATTCTTATAAATTTAACATGGCATTGAATAATAAATAATAAGATACTAATTTGAACAGTATTCTGTAAATTAATGTAAGTCCGAGACTTCCTGTACTTAAATATCAATTCAATATTTAAAAGTATGGTAATATAAATTTTGTTACATTTTTTAAATTCCTCTTTGCTGATAAATGAATTGCGTTGTTTATTAAATTACATGTATAAAAAAATAATCATTTATTAGACATATCACAAAACGAATTTCCAAGAAAAAACATTATTTCCCAAATATTTTCAAGCAATCTCTAAATTGTCTGCGGGAACCACATAGAAGAATTTGTTCACTGCCTGTATAGCTTTCGATAACAATTCATGGATGATTGGACCCCCCAATTCTGTGACTATTTCCTTCCAGCTGTGTTCTAGCACTTCCAATATTGGTTTGGCTGGAAAAATATGATTCGTTACTGATACAACCAACAAGATAAATTAGTTAACAAGATTCAAGGATTCTCAAAGTCAGTTCAACCTAAGAGAATTCTTGCAACTCCTAAATTGAATAGAAGATTATATTTGAATGCTTTTAAATTGGTATTATTTTAGTATGCAATAATAAACAGATTAAATGTCCAATATACGCCGGAACCACATCTGTAGCCAGATAGTAAGACGTATTGCATTGCGTTAAGCGCGAAAGGTCCTGGGTCCGAATCCCATGGAAACAATAAATTGTTCGTGCCTATAAAAGAAGCGATCTGTGAAAAGGACACAGAAATATGTTCGCCCCATGCCTGATGAGTGAAGACGGGGTTCCACACACAACAAAGCCTGTTATGATACAGGGATGATCATACAAAGCTATAGTTGTACTAATGAAATCGGTTGGTAAAATGATTAAGATAAATTAATTTAAAAATATTATTGGCCATTGTGGGTATAACGCTTTGTGTTCAGTGAACGAAGTCTTGGGTTCGAATCGCGTCTGTTTAACAATTCGCATCGGCCGATTGTGTGCTAGCAAAAGAGAAATTAGTTTTTATTATGATGATACAAGTAGAATCAGCTACCTCTGGTCTCATCACCTCCGAAGAGGTTCTCCAATCGGAAGTCAACCTTTTCGACAAGGTCGTAAGTGTAGTCGAAGCCGGTTACCTTCCAATGCTTCTTGCCATCAGCGCCCTCTATTTCCTTAGTCCTCGTCATGACATCAATCCTTACTTTGTCTAAAAAATATAAATTAATAATGACCAACCATAAATGATTTTTGTTCCAAATTTAAAGTTGATACACGTTTTAAATACGAAAAGATAAACAAGAAAGAAAGCATAATTATATTATATTGCGGTAAAGCTTTTTAAAAGCACATATCTTCTATCTAGATCCAGATAGTTTGTATAACTAAGTTTAAAATACAAATATATATTAAATAAAACACCTTAACGGTTTTAAATGGGATATATATTCGTCAAAAATTATTTTAATGACGGCCCGGCGTTTCGGAGGCTTTGCAGCGGCCACGGGGATATAAATTTTCAAATAAGTTTATTTTATATACATCGCATTTTAAACCATTAAAGTGTTTTATTTAAATGTGTACTACTCGCGTAAACTACAGACAGTATTTACAAAAATAAGAACTTGATGAATTAATAATGAATGAAACGGCCGTTCATTTATATTTTGTTATAATTTTCTTTTATCTAGACCCAACTAAGATTTTTTATCAGCGTTTGTTTTCAAACATAGTACTTTTTGGCTATACATACTTGTCTTGATCTCGAAGTCACCGTCACCAAACGCTTCAATGAAAAGCAATTTTCCTTTTAAGTCGTATTGGCCCACTGATCTCAGGGGACACTCCACAGTCATTGAAATCGTAGGCTTGCTGCCTAAACCACGCCTGAAAATTTTCATAAGAGAGGAGGTTAAGCAAACAGTGCAAGTGTAATCCAAAGACAATAAAATGCGATAACACTAAACAGCTTTTCCATGTATAGACAGTGGTAACCCGTAACGAAATATTAAAATTCGTACTATTTTATATCCAGATTAATCCGCATTGTAAGATTATAAAAAGTGGTGAAACAGACATAGGACCAGACAGGAATAAAACCTATAGCCATACACTCCTAACATAGGAGCGACGAGCAGGTAACAATAATACCATTATTTAATTATTAATATTATGTTTTAAAATTCTTATAATTCTACAATTAAAACCTTTTTGTGATAAGCTGTTATTTGTTTTGCGTGAAATATATGTGCAGTCTGTATATTATGACCACGTCTGTAGCCAAATGGTTAAACCTACTGCTTAACATTGCGGTAAGCGCGAGAGGTCTTGGGTTCGAATCCCAAGGACACATAAAATTGTTTCGGTTGGGCAGGGCACAGAAGTCAGATCAACTTCTTGTCTGTTAAAGAACGGATCAATGAAACGTTCACAAAAATGTATTTGCTCCACGCCCCACGAGGGGGAAACTTAACAAAAACTTATAATATGCTGTGTATAAACACTTTCTACAGTACAGCTAGCAAAACAAACGGAATAATTATAATTGTTAAAGATAATAAACCTTTGAAATAAAAGTCATGATTTAAAAGTTTAATTGTTTCAACGATAACTCTTTTTATGTTTTAAGCTATGATACTTCATTATAAGTTAGTTAAGTTATAAGAAAGAATAGCGAAGAAATGCTAAATTTTATTTCCAAGGACAGAGTTAAAATCAAAAACCTGCTCAAATTTGTTTGAATAGTAATTGATAGTTATAAAGTATTCATCGCGTTTTTAGATGGACCTGTTTTTCCTGTTGTCCTTAATAATCTGTACTGATGACATAACATAGATAAAACGAAGACTAATGTGTCAAAAAATGTTTAATTTAAAAGTTTCACGGACACCGAAACTTAATTTTGCCAAACTCATTTACGAATTATTTGAGTTTAAACGAAATTCTTCTATAGCAAGCGAAAAGAGTTCTTATCTAGTCAAAAAATACATTTGTCAATTTAATAGCTTACACAGCTAACTTTTCCCCCATGGGAGAATAAATAATAAAGTTTAGTATTGTTAAGTAAATTTTTAATTTGTCTTTAATAATATGAAAAAAAAAACCACTGCGTTCCATGCTGTGGCTGTAACCAATTGAGCTCCCGAGTACTACTCGTCATCGTGGATTCATCATCGATTTTTAATTTATTCATCATGTGAAAAATATTAAAAGTTTTCAAATACTCACGTGAGATCTATAACTTTGCATTTGCTTGTACCATAAACTTGGAGGTTTCTGAAGCCCAGCTGTAAATCTTTGCCGTCATTGCGCACGCTTTCAATAGAAATTGGGTCTAGGACGGGCACGTGGAATTCTGGGATGCCGTTCGCGACGTGAGGTATGGCTGCTTGGGCGCTGGCAATCATGCACGGTTTATCATCCGGCTTGCATGGTGTGATGTAAGATACTGCAATTGCATCGTAAAGAATAAATGATGGCGATTTATTTGTACAAAGGATGGAGTTTTCAAAAAAGACAATTCGTCATAATAATAAAACCCTTTTAAACTTAATTTTGTTTAACTCTTGCCCAACGTTCCGTGTGCTTTGCGGCAGCCGTTTTCATCTTTTTTAAATGAATCAAAATAGATGTTTTAAAGGTTTTAATAGAATACCTTGTTCAAAACATTTCTTCGTTTTATTTCAATGTGTACAACACAGTTGACTTTGTCTAAAGGTTGTAATATTTGAATAAAACCTATATCGTTAAAACTAGTTCGTTTGTTATAACTTATTTGACAATGATAGCTTCGACTTTAGTGCCCAGACAGTATTTGTATAATATTTGCATGGTCAAAATTAAACATACTTTTAGAAACACTTTTACTTATTTAAGCATTAATTTTCTTTACCGGGCTTCTAAATAGGTACCTAATCAAATCCATAACCTTTAAGATATAGCTGTGCCCACGGCTTCGTCCACATGGAATAGTTATTTGGGCATCATGGGTTCATGCGGCTAGGTTTAAAATTGATAAATATTGTTGCAGACATTTTTTAGATCATTCCAAGGAGATTTTTTTTCATTAATAAAGTCTTAAAGCCCATAAATATGAATGATTTCCACATTTTTTTTTCCACGTGTTTCTTTGCTTCTATTGGTCGCAGCCCATGCTTAACAGCCTAAAGCCTTTCTCAATAGAAAATCCAACATCAAAATAAGTTTTAAATTCGAACCAATACTTTATGAGATTAGAGTGTTCAAACAAACAACCAAATAAACTCTTCAGATTTATAAGATTAGCATATCTATGCTTAACATTTGTTAAAAAGAGAAATAAAAAAAAGCGTTTAAAACAATACCTGTTGCGGCATTAGACAAAACAAAACAACACACTAGATATAGCACGATCCTTAACATTTTGTATATTATTTTTATTAACAGCCTTTTCAATGGTAAGGTCAAACAAATACTAAAATTTTATCACGAAAATTGTGTTATTTATAGTTAGGCGAAGCAATTTGCATCCATGCCGGTCTTAAGCTTGACTTTTGACGCGAATCGTTTTTTACTTCACTGTTACGAATTAATGTTGCTATTAAAAAAAATAATTAAGACATTATTAAGATTATTATTTTAAAGCACACTGACAAAAACAAAAAAAAACTTATTTTTATACAGCTTTATATAATTAATTTATAATGTTTTAAACAGAACAATATTAGATACTATTTCCGTGAATTTAAAATACCTTTACAGGAGTTTAATTGCATTTATACATAAATTTTTTCCCAGTCTATATCATAAAATTTAAATATACTACATTAATATTTAAAATAGCTACTTCAATTATATGTATTACATAGTCATATACAACAATCCTACATATATATACAGAGTGAATATGGGTAATACTTATTGAAGCCAAAGCTAAAATAGGTCGATAGGGCATCTTGTTTAGATGCTATAGGTTGCCTTATTTCACCTACCATCAAATGAAACTAGTGCTTGTATGTCCCCCTCTATCATTAAAAAAAGAAGTCAATACTGTCTATAGTTTACGCGAGTAGTACACATTTAAATAAAACACTTTAACGGTTTAAAACGCGATATATTAGTTAAACTTATTTGGAAATGATTTTCAACTTTGGCCCGACGAGTCTCCCCGTGACCACAGCTGCTGCAAAGCATCCGAAACGTCGGGCCGAAGATAAAAATCATTTCCAAATAAGTTTAACTAATATATCGCGTTTTAAACCGTTAAAGTGTTTTATTTAAATAATAAAAAGAAGTATGCACAAGGAAAGCCTAACGTATTATTAACCAAATATATACTTTACTTAAATAAATACTTTAACGGTTTAAAAGCGATATATTTCTGTTAAACTTGTTTGAAACTTATTTTTGGATGCTTTGCATCAGTCGTGTCATCCCGTGACCGTTTTTAACACTTAAAGTGTTTTATTTTAATGTGTACTACTCGCGTAAAGTACAGACAGTATTTGCTTCACTTAAAAAAAAAATAACGGTTTCGAAATATATCTTTCTTTAACGAGTCGTTTCGAATGCTTTGTATGACACGTCTTGCTACCTGTAATACTGTGTAGTGTAAATTATATAGCACTTCCATAGATCATAGCGAAGCTGGTTGAGGTGTCCTGGTGTGGTTTGATAGCACGTTCTGCATACAATGCAGGAGCATTCGATTAGTTTCATTTACACAGGTACATAAAACAATAATTGCAACAGGGGATTTTTTTATGTAAGACGGTTTATTTGACTGGTATTCACAATTATTGTTTGTATGTTTCTTGGATTTGTAATACTTAATGCATAAAAAAATCACTTCTAATGTACTTTTTAGGTACTGTATGAAATGAAGGTAGAGAAGATTTTTCAAATGTTTTACATTTTTACGACACGAGCTGGTCTTCAACCGGCGTCCACAAGATCCCCAAAATTGTTTATTAATTTAAGGGTTTTCGGAATTTACATTGCGTGCGAGGTGCATATATCAGTAGGTTGAAAAAAAAATGACGATTTGTGTAGGACACAGAAGCATAATTGGTTAGAGCAATAGCACGGACGCTGTGGTTGCCGGTTCGGTGCCTGCCCGTGTAGTAAATTTTTATACACTCTAAAATCGATTTTTAATGTAAATAATTGTTAGCCCTAGATATTGCTTGTATTACCCACAGTGGTATAGTGAAATTTCGTTTTCGTAGGGCATAGGCCAAGGACATTCCGTAGTTAGTTTGACTTATTAATTTTAAGTATGGACAAATATGTTGTATAGAACGTCAAGGCTTAGTCTGATCAGATGGACCTCCCGGGAATGCAATTCCAGGCGAGGCTTAACCTCTGCGTCGCGGGGGCAATCCTACAATATTGGTGATAGCTATTCCATAGATTTATAAGGCGAAGAGTTACGATACATGCTCACTGAACTTTGTCGTGAATCGAAGCTTTAAGGGGTGTGATGAATATTGTATGAAATAGCGGATGCAGTCGGGAGCGAAGATAAATGATATTCCCATCCTTAAAGTATAAAATATCGTATGGAATATTTTTCGATCTGATTTTTATGTATTTCGTAGAAGATTCTATAAAACGTACTCGCTACAGTATTTATTTCATCAAAGCTTACAGAAGCAATAAATTTTTTATAACAAAAAACAATCGCGTCATTAAGACTTTTTTACTTCTTTAATTATAACAAATTATATGTTAACTTCGAATTCTGAATCTATTTACATATAAATAAAAATACCGCCATACATTTTTTTTATTTAGGTTGTGCAACGTAGCTTTGATAGCAAGGAAATTTTAATCGGCTGGATTGCAAGATTAATTTATCGAAAAATTGGATTATATAAAAAATTTGAAAAAAAGAATCGGTTTAGTTATGAAAAGAATTTTGAGAAGACATATACATAACTATTATTTTATTAGAACCAATGGGCCGTGAGTTCGAAACCGGGTCCAACCGTGTTTCTGATAATTTTGAAATTTTCTCGTTTGTTGAACTTTGTCTCGAATATATAAATGTGTGGTAGGAATATCAACATTCCGTCCGGGTCTAGTTGTGATGTTATTGCTGGGATATTTTCACCATCCATTTAGTTAACCCCAAAATTGTCTATAAACCTGTATCTTAAAAAATAAAGTTGAATGATATTTTCTTTTATTCCTACATGCATACGTAAATTTCATAAATTGTGGATGGTGTTACATACTGTAATGTGTTGAAAAAATTAATTGTTTAATTACCGGTTCAAAACCGCAAATCAGGTAGTTTTGCCTGCGTTTTTATCATACCTAAAGTATAGTATCGTTGAAATTGCTACCATATGCAATATGATTTAGCCTTTATATCCAATAGGTAGACTCTTGTGAATCGCGATACACATCGCTAATCTATCGGACGGGCTTAGAAGCACGGACCTACATTCTGTTTTTTAACCAAAGTTGTCGATATTTGAGGATAATCTTTTCGGTTATTATTCTCTGATATCCGCATTTTTGATAGATTGGATGATTCTATATTATTGATACGAATGAACTATTTAAACACTTTAACGGTTTAAAACGCAATATATTAATTAAACTTATTTGAAATTTATTTTTAACTTCGGCCCGACGTTTCGGATGCTTTGCAGCAGCCGTGGTCACGGGGAGACAACGAACGAATGAATTTGTGAGTCTATTATCTTTCTATGCTTTGTTTAATTAATTATTGCATAAGCAAATTTGTTATCTACATTTTGAGCGAAAAAAAAAACAAATATTTCCAAATAAAATTAATCGAAAATCCAAAAATGAAGTAATTTTTCTTTCGACTAGGATGTTGTTTGATTTAAAATTCTGTAATTGTAAACGAAAGGTATTAATTAACTGCGGTTCGATGTTTCTTCTGCATTGCTGCAGCTGTTTTTACAGATTCGTGGTGACATTTCGCGTTGAACACCGTTAAAAGTGTTTTATTTAAAATATTTTGGTTTTTTTTTGTAACTTTTTGATATTATTATAGATATTTGTACTACTCTTGTTCCATTTTTAAATAAATTTCTGATACCCAATTGTATAATTACATGAACAAAGTACAATACTAAAACCAGTAATCGTAATAAATATGATTATCTCCCAGTGAAACCATCTTTAAGAAAAAGGAAAAACACTTGACAAAACATTAAGGTTGAAATTTTGATTCATTGCGGTCGTTATAAGGTTGTATTGTAAGGTTGTATGTATGTGTTAAAAATAGCAGGCTTAGAACAAAAACTAAAGAAGCAACACCTTTTATAAAGCGTTTATTTTAAATGTAGAGATGTTTAAAAACAAGGCGCAAATGAAACATCAATCTTTTGTGAAGAATTAGGAAAAAATAAAAATGACTAAATAGGTATTTACTTTGCGTATTGTTTATAAGTTGTGCAAGTAGTGGAAATTTTATTATACACAAATAAAACAACACGCCGAGTGTTTCGAAGTAGCAGTACAGCTACATAAATTTCACATTTTAAACCGTTAAAGATGTTGTATTTTTATAGTGGCAGTATTCTGTGTGACAGTAGCAAAAGCACCAGCAACAGAAGCAACAGCAGCAGAAGCAGCAGCAGCATCAGAAAATATGATTAAAACTACATTTATCTGAAGCATGTCTAGTGTCAAACAGTCGAACAGCAAATTCGTAAGCTAATCTTAGAATTAACTTAAGTGTTAGTTAGTTTAAATTTTGGTATCCCATTGCTTTTTTGTTTATTTCTTTGATCGTTTGCCTGCGGGACCCTAAAATATGATATTAAAATATTTTCCTGTTCGACTGTATTGATTTTGTTTCAAATATTAGGGCTGTACGTTTGATCTCTCCCTTTCATTGTCAACTTATCACGACACCTCTATAAGTATTTATTAGAGGGGGAACAATAGATGTGCTTGAACGTATTGTACGTTTGAAGGAGACCTTGAATATTACCCATCTGGATCTCTTTTACGGTTCAATGAACTCAAAAGCTATAAAGGTATATTTTTGGCTGAATTTTTTATGAAGACCGTACTTAAGACAGCGGAGTTTTACGTCTTATATTTTCAAATATACGTAAAGTTACTTCCACGAAGGATTTTTTAATAATAGAGGAAGTCAGATAAGCATTGGGTTCGATTGAGGGTAGGTAAAATACACCAGCTTATAACGTCGAAACAAGATGTACTAAATACTGTCTATAGTTTACGCGAGTAGTACACATTTAAATAAAACACTTTAACGGTTTAAAACGAGATATATTAGTTAAACTTATTTGAAAATGATTTTAACTTCGGCCCGACGTTTCGGATGCTTTGCGGCAGCCGTGGTCAGGGGGAGACAACCGAAACGAAACGTCAGGCCGAAGTTAAAATCATTTTCAAATAAGTTTAACTAA